AGTACTTTTAATAGTTTAAATATCCTCCAATCAACCTGCCTATATTTCAAGGTTCTGTACTGTTGAGAGTAAATACAGTTACTTCAAGGCACCTATGGAAATGTGAAGTAAAACAAATACCACAAAGGCTCCACAGCCATATTAAAAATATCTCACTTAATCAGTTAATTAAAACATCGAATCACTAACCGGTTGATCACTAAGTATCCGGTCTGTTAAAACAACTCTAGTGACCAAGGCCCCCATGTACTCATCACAGAGAATTGGATGTTGCCAAAGAATGACTTCAAGTTACTAAGCTAGCACCCTTTTAACTCCCAGCTGCTGATGAAGCAACCCTTGGGGGTCTCCAACAGTTGTGGGTACTCACAGATAGCCAGGGAAGTTATCTTGTATGGGCTAGATGAGTTATGGGGCCAGAAGCAAAATAAGCGAAAGGAGTGTGACAGTTGAGCTCAGCAAACGGGGACTAGAAACCAGGACATGCCTAAGGGATGCCTCTTCCCAGTCCCGTTTGTGGGCATGAGTGAGTGAGAATGGCTGAGAAACCCAGACTTTCCACTAGCTATGGAGTTTGAGCTAATTGTAATTTTTACCTTTAAATCTAATTCCAAAGTAGGCTGAGTTAAAAGAGAAAAGAACAAATGCAAAGCACAAGGTCTACCAAATGCAAAGAACAGTGTCTACCAAATACCATGGTAAAATTCCACAAAAATCACTGGGATTGCACTACAGCGATAGATAATTTTATCCAGGATGCTCTTCTGTTTGCCTGAACAGTAATTTAGTATACTAAATGTTCTAAACTTGTATTCTTCCACTGAGAAATTAAGTACAGAAGCCCTGCTACCACCCAGATGATGGGAACTGCATAAGGAAATCAGAAACTAAACAAATAAATGAAAAGCAAACAAACATCTCTTAAGTGGATAAGTAGGACATGCTGCTAGTGGGACAGAATACAATGAGGAAATTAACTTGGCTTAGCTAATTTTGGCTGCAAATTGTCAAGTGTTCATAAGGGGGAGAAATAAGTAAACATTTTTAGATTGGTGCTTGGGACTAATATTTATAGATTTTTTTACCACAGAATGCCAGTGAAGATAAAAACAGGGTATAGTTGGCTTAAGTAACATGGAGTAAGTCTTAGTGATCTTGATGATAATGAAGATGGAATTAAGATAGTGCACAAATGGACTGCTGAATAGAAAGGATGAGTGGTGGTAATTTCTGGAGTGCTCCTGCTTTGCTGAGGCATTCAGCTTTTAATCCTATTTTGTTAATGCCAGAAAGTGAAAAAAGGACTAATGTTACAATATCTACATTCCAGCAATGTGTGTCTGTCTTGAGTATATAAATGTTACGAAGCATTTTCACTCATTTAGTAGTAACTACTTCTAAATTCCAGCTATACTGGCTTTATTTTTTGGACAAGAGGACAGAAGAAGAATCTATTGTTCCAAAAAAAAAAAAAAAAAAAAAGAAGCTGCACATCATTCCTGGAAAAGGAATTGTGAATTGTATTAAATTATGATTGTTTTCTTCATTATAGGTGCTTTGATGCACAATAAACAAATAATTCAGAAAAAAATCTAGGTGTAACCTCCAAAACAGAAGTGTTGTAAAATGAAAACATGTATGGCTGTTCTTCAAATTCCAGCATGAGTATTTAAACAAAAGGCATCTCAATAAAATCCCTGTTGAAAGCATGATTTACTTAGAGGCACAAAATTCTAAATACATAATAATCAACATGGCAAGCAGTATAATGTTATACTGTTAATGCTGTTTAAATTTCCTAACCTAAAACTTGTCAGTTTATACAATATTTTTTGGGCATGACTGATGAAACATTTCTTTGCTGTTATATCACTGAAAAATAGTTAAATTTGATTTATGGAAATACTTGGTCTTAAATTTAAAGTTAGAATTACACCAGAATCAAAGCTGTTAAGAGCCCTTGTAATTTAAATGAACAGGTGGAAGAGCTAGAATGCAACAATTATCTGAACTCTCTTGGTAGTAATAATTCAGGTACTATACCAACAGAGATAGGTTTGCAGTACAAACTATTTCTCTCTGCTGCTCTGAAGCAAAGTTTAGTAGATATTACAAAACAGTAAAGCATTTAACATCTTCAGAGAAGTGCTAAGGTGTTTCTAAAGTAGGACATCACTGTCTTACACAATTACTTGAAAGTCTGCAAAGTTTGTGGATTCCCTCCTCCCCAGCATATTTACAGGTGGACTCTAGTTGTGCAAAGGTCCTGAGGAACATCAAAGAGGTCAGTATAAGCTCTGTTTCAGACCAACACCTTTTGGGTTCTAGGCAGATTTTAGAAATTTCATGTAAATTATTTCAGTTCATATGAACTTTGGATAACTACGAGCCAAGAAACTGGGATTCACTTTTACCTTTCCTATATGGTACGACATATGAGCACACGTTCAAGACAGACGCCATGATGGGAAAATGAGCATGCATCAATACTATTTCCACATTCACTAAAACTTATAATGGCTGATGTAGGATAAAACAAGAGACTAAAAAAAGACTTTGTGTAATCATTGTAAGAATCATGTAATAAAAACCTTGCTCCAGAAAGCTTGAATTAGTTCAACAATGTGTAGCGAACATATTTGGTTATACAAAGCAAAAGCGCAACTGAGTTATCAACTTTACACAAAGTCAGATATCTGAAAGGGGATCTTTTAAAAAAAAACTTTATTTGAGAAAGGAAGAGACTTGTATCAGAAGGCAAAAAAAGGAAACATACAAACAGAATATATTTACAACACAAAACAAGAGATCACCTCTAAGGGTGTAAATTATAATAAATACAGTAGATTTAAAATGTAAGAGACAATTATCAATTAGAAATGTGGTTGTTTAAACCCGGTTTTCCTTTTCACTGGTTCCAGGTAGTTTAATTTTATCCAAATTTGAAAGATTCTGAAATTGAAATCCACTAAATTATTGGGGTTTCTCACCTGACTGACATTACAAAAATATCTTTTTTCCTTTGTGAATACATGTTTTTGAAGTGACATTGTACAAAAGTCTTCTCATCTGCAGGTTTCTCCCCAAATAAAATGTATTTTAAAAGATGCACTATCCCTTTTTGATGAGGCTGAAATTAGGTTTGAAAGAAAATTAAAATTAAACAGAATGGGGTAATTTCATTTTTATATGCTTCACTTTTTGAATGTGAATGCAATTTTTTCATCCAAAGTGGAGAAAGATTTCTGTACAAATATGAAGTACACATACAAATCATCTGTATTTTATCAAGTAATAAATCTTTCTTATCTAAGATGATCTTTATGTTTCAGGGGACCTTTCATTTTATAGAAACTATTTAGTCATCTGTTTGGAGACCTTTTAGGAAAAAGGATAATGTATCTTTAGAAGTTGCATCGTTTTATAAGAGATTTACTAGTATTAGAGCATAATGTAAACACATGCTAATAACATATTTTATAACAATTTCTACATTTGGCAAAACCAGCTATCTCTTTTGAAACAGGATACTGCACTTTAAAATACCTCAGCTTTAGAAATACAAATATTTTTAATAGAAAAAAAACCTGACACAGATTCCAGGTCAGTTTGGGATTATCCATATTAAAGGGATCTTAATACAATGAATCTTTAACTAGCTTAACAAAAGTAAACCTATAAAACAAGGTAAACATATCAAAAGGGAATATGAAGGAAATGTTTCACTGGAAAGCTTCCTTAACAATTTCCCTACTCACTTTGTTATTTTCTTTGACAATAAATCAATTCATAGAGTGCCTTTAAAAACAGAGGGAGCGCTGCCCCGTCCCCCCCACCCCACATTCCTCAGCACATGAATCACTTGGGCTTCCTGTTTCCATAAGGCATTTCCTGTCCCCTCTCCCAAAATCACTTTTCTGCAGGAGAACAGCAGGGACCTGACAAAGTATTGACTTAAATAAACAGGGCCTTCCACTGCATCCAGCCTTGCCCTGCCTGATCTTACAGCAACGGAAAGGGACGCCAGCTCGCTGGCTGCACAAACGCACTGCTCTTTCCAGCTTTGGTGAAATGCTTGCTGAGTTTTCCTTTCACTAAGTTGGCATTTTATGCACAGTTGTTATTTTAGTATTTCTCCATGAGACTTAGCAGTAAAGGTTATGTGATATTGTATGATTAGTCTTTATTTTAAAAAAATAAACAAGTGATTGGATATCAGATGATAATGATAACAGTTCTGTGCTTTTCCTGCAATATCCTAATAACTGTTTGGAACCTAATGCTGCATTTTGCTTCTTACCATTACTTGCATCTGCTTCATTTAAGGACATCTCTGCAGAGAGCATCATCAAATACGACAGAATGAAAAATTAACTAAGCAGTGCAAAAAAGAAAACAATGCAACTTTTAAACAGTGCCTTGCCTTGCCTCTTTACATCCACCTGATATTCCTCTCTAAATTATAATTTATACACCAGCCTGGGACCACTGATATAGCAGTCAGTACCTTCCACTGGGGAAAAAATACCCTAACATTAACAGTGTTCAAGACTACAGTATGATACAGTATATACAGATAGCTGAAAGCAAAAGTCAGAGGATTCAAAAATCAGAGAATGTTTCATCAATCAGGTCTGGAAACTAATTCCAGCAATTGCTGATCTCAACAAGCTAGGTGATATGAGTTCTCTTTCACTAGAAGTAAGTGATGTAATGTAATCCTGCGCTAATACTAAGTCTATCAGCTATTGCGCAAAGACTTATGTAGAATAATTGACTGCAACAAGAATTTTCTCAATTAGTGGCCATAAGGATGAGCTTCACTATGTTTTCAAGTGTGCATACAGCATTCTGCCTTTGTTAGATTCTTTGAACAGTAAATCAGGATTTGCTAGATCAGTGAATCAAAACACAATTGCTTATCAAAGCCTAGAAAATGCATGTGATGTTCAGATAATAACCTTAATTACAAATCCTGGAGCTAAATCTTTGCCTATTACCTGTTGCATAAAAGCAGCTTGCTCCCCAGATTCCATTTGCTGGGTTTGAACATCCTCATCACTGTCCGGTGGCTCCTCTTTGACTTTCACAGCCCCCACCTGCTGTCCTATTCTGTCATCCACGCCAGCACTGCTGCTCTCAGCCCTAACGCTGGCACCGCTGGTGGGAGCTCGCTCTTCCTGCATTGAGTGATCTCCATGAAGCTCTTCTTCAGCTTCCTCCAGGTGACTGCCAGTGCTGCCAGGCTGCTTGAGCTGCTCAATGGACTTAGAGAGCATCTGGAAAGAGAAGGGGGAGAAGTTACTGACTTCTTTCACTGACTCCAAACACTGAGAAGTACTAGATTTGCACAGACAAAATTAAAGCTTCTGCCGGAAAACCATGTAGCTATGCATTGCTAAAATATTAATGTACAAGGAAGAAAGAACCAAAGTTCCCAAGCAGATGGTCACTTCTTATTCTGCAGTAGAAAATACCATGTATGTAGAGAGCGTTATACAGTAATACTAGACTAAAAATAAGGCAGAATAATGAAAACATGACACATCTGTTACACTGTTACAGCTGGTAATCAAAAGAAATTAGTCTCCCTTTATACTCTAGAAATATAAATGCAGAAATGTATTTAACTATATTACAATTAATTTTCCATAACACAAAATAATAAATGAACTCTAAGATACAAGAAAATTAGTAATCTGGTTAATATTTAGTTATAAGCAAATGAGGGAACATTCACCCAAGCTTCTTTTATCAATTAAAGGATGAAGGCACTGAAAGTCAACAAAGAGCTGGTGTGAGTCCCCTCTCCTCCGGCACAAAGATAGTACAGGCCTGTCTGTCTATGACTGGAAAGACTACGCCTTTTGTTGTGCACGGCACAGGTATCCCAGTTTCAGCAATAATGTTAAACAGGTACACAGATAATACTTGTTTTAACACCATTAACTGCTATTGTAAAGGTCTGCTGAAGTGCCAGATGCTTGAGTGTTGCAATCATACACATTTTATGTTTTACTACTTAAGATGCAGCAGCCTAATGTAATCCAAAGAAGCCAAAAATGAAAAAAAAATTGCTGCTTTGTTGAAAGAGGCACAAATCAGACATGTGAGTAAGCATCTGCAGCATCGAGTAATTATCATTCAGTCAACTGGCCCACTTGATTTCAGGCAAATACTGACTTTTATCACCAAGGTCAAATATATTGAGAAGGGAAAAAAACACCTTTTACCATTATTCTTAGATATCTTCCTCTTTCCATCTGCCTCCCCCCCCCCAACTGTTGTCAAGTCTTTCAAACTGAGTTTTAGCTAGTGCTATATGCTGTTACTGGATGGCTTCAGTATAGCTATTTTTGTCACAAACCGTGGACTGTCTAGTTTCATTCTGCTTGCTAATGCCATACAGAAAAATGCCACCCTAGTGAAGGGTAAGGTTGTCATGTAAACTATGATCAAGAAGCTACAGCTGGACTCATGAACTCCCACAAAGTCAACAAGAAGAGTTGAAAGATCTGTTTGTTCAGTTCCAGTTGATGCTCTGATGCATACGTCTCACATCAGTGGAGAAACAAATTCCACGGTGGAAGTCTACAGGCTTTAGTCACTGAAAACCTTAATTTTTGGGGAGTAATGGGAGTTTAATGGCTTACTAAAAAGAAAAAAACAAACAAACAAAAAAATCCCTTTTCATTGCTGTAGCAACTGGCAAATCACAACATGTGTATCCTGTATGCTGCAGGTGGCATGCTTTAAGCTGTGAAATCCTTACTACTGCAATGAATGCAGAGTGTCTCCTTTTATTAAGCAGCATCTGGAAAATTTCTGAGATCAAACCCATAAATCTTTTCCAGTTGTTTCTCAGGGGATGACGCCGACCAAGAAGGCACTGAAGCTAACTCCATGTATTCATGTTGGGTATACTCCTCTCTGTCACTTAGTTAAACACCCATGAGCAAGCCCTCTCCAGTCCTCAGGCAAGAAAAGAAAGGGAGGGCTGGCTGCCTGGCTGGCTGCTAGCAAGAAATACAAGCTGAACCGTGTGTGTGACAGATACTCATATATAGCATTGGGAGTCACTGATGCCGATCCATCTGTAAACCATTCCATGGGCCAGTTATTTGACATCAGATGGGTTATTCTGTAGGGGAAGCCAAGAGAAAATCAGTGCCTGTCCACAGCAAAGTTAAGAAACATATTTAGCTCATTACTGCTCTCCTTTCTTTTATGCTTTTTCCGGTTTTATGTCAGGCTCTTTCTTCTTCATGCTGCTGTATGGCACAGACCTGCTGCTGAGCTTTGTGAGGCAACACATGATGGCCTGCAGTATATAATCTATATGTGGAACACCTTCAAATGCTTTTTGCGTGTAATCAGTGCAGTGATGCAAGCCAAATAAGGGGGTTGCAGAGACTAGAGTGGAATTTGTGTGCATTTCAGTTTTGCACTGTTCCTGTTTTGGGGCCTGCTCCCACACTGTGGAAGTCAGCAGGCAATTTGCTCCAGATTTCAGCGACACGAGGAGCTAAACAAATTAAATTTTCTAAAACACTGTGAAATTAAAGTCTTTATATATTTTCACAGTAGTTTTTAGAAAATGCACACCTGTTATCATCTTTACTGCAAAATCTTATTAAAAACATCCTTTAGACTGTGACTTAACTAAGCCTCAGGCAAGGGGGCTATGAGGCACTATAGTCATGTCCTCTCATATGATGGAACATGATTAAAATGGGTAGATGGCATGGGGCAGGGCAAAACCTGAAAACCACTCTGCTGCTCCGTCTGCTAAGCCACAGGTGATTGCTTTCTTTGTATCACCATCATGCTTTCATATTTGTTAAAGTGATTTTTAAAGGCAGCTTGACCCCATCTTATTGCAGTAATTACATCAGTAACGCTATCATGAGACTGTTCAGTTCTCCTAAGTGAGAAACATCTTACTTTATATTATATCTATCTCCTGATTCTACTTTGGAAAATTACCTGTCTGGACACATGCAAAGACATCAGTTTAGAGTCAATATTTCCATCTTATGTCTCTATCTAAAACATAGCAGAAAATGAGCTCTGAATGAAACACTGCTCAAGTCCTTTCACTGTGCAGCTGGATACTCTCCTTACACTTCATGTTTAAATCTTTCACTTTAAACCCCCACTGACCATTTTTTTCTGAATTTATCTATAGGTACATGCAGGACTTTCTCCTCATTTTAATGCACATTTTTGATTTTGAAGAAGTGATTGCTTAATCTGAGCTTTAGTAAGACTACATTTTAAAAGAATAATAAAACCATTGTTTATTTCACTAATAAATTAGAGTTGTACAGCTTGGCCTTCTTCAACCAGAGCACATTGCTGTTATCGCTATTCCAACTAAAGGAGTTCCTTAAAAAAATGGTTTCATGCTAATGTAACCTATTTTTTTTCCTTTTATTTTCAGGAAATTAAACTGTAAGGGATACGCATGAGCCAAAGTAAACAGTGATAGAGAGGAAGCATTTACAGACATCAGCTCCATTGTATAACTGCAAGAGTCCAACCAAAAAAGACATCAAACACAATCTAACCTGCTTGCTTGTACAGAAGAATGGAAGACTAAGTATAAATAATCTGGATATTGCAACAGTTTCTTTTTATAGGTAATTCAGCTGCAGCCCTGACTTTGTTTCTCTTTTGTCATGACGAGCTTTTGTAAAATACAATATTTTAAATAAAATGCAAAGAGACAAAGCACAAAATCCCACAAAAGCCACCATATACATTTCTTTCCATAATCAATTGTTCATTTTAAATACATGTCTGTCGTTTCTAAGAACACATTTATATACTTGTGGAACACACTTTCTCCTTCTCTCCTATGGCTATCAGATCACTTTGGCCAGCTATGTATGTTGTTAGCTGTACTGAAACAACTTGGCACCTGCTTACTGTTGTCTCTGTTACGTAGCACAATGTTTGTAAGAGATGTATTTATCTTTCAAAACCATTCTTCTGCAATGTGGCTTAACCATTAGTTCTTAGTAAAGGAGAAAATGCTCTGGGCATTTTGCAGTTCCAAACACAGTCATCTGTTGCTATAGTTTTGTCCAAATAATCCCCCCACTATAAGCAATATTTGAAAGAAGAAATGTGCTATCTCACAACTTCAGAAGATGCTAGTCAGATGTGTAAGCTGGAAAGCCAAAACCTCAGTTGTAGTATGTTTAATGAAACTAGATTAATTTACTCCAGCTGAACCTGACTCTATTTTAATAATCTTCCCTATTTTAATAAATATAATTCAGAGAAGTGAAAGATTAATGTGGGGTTAACTGTATCTTTTCAATATTCCTATTGAAACAAATAATCTTCCTAGTTTTTCAACAGAAAAATCCATATTATTTTCCATTTTTTATTAATAGGTCTTAGTCAACTACAATCACCATCAAAAGCGCTACTGAATTTTCATTTTCTGTATATTTTTTGTCATGTATTTTTTTACTTCAGAGTCTTGTCCAGTCACTGGTTCCCTATACAAAGATGTTTTAAACCAATTACCGCTGTGGAACGAAAACTGAAACTCTCATACTTTAGTCCACACTACAAACTACCCCATTATTTTAATCTGTGCTACTCTGAAACAGGGGAGGATTTTACCATTGAAAACAAATTGTCAAAATGCTATCAGTACATTACTTTAAGAACACAAGTATGGTTGTCGCACTGATCAAATGAAATCTTGGTCCCAGTGAAGACGGTGCTAGTTTAGCTTCAGCAGAGGCAGGACTTTATTCATCATACATGACAAAGACAACTTTTAAAGACAGAGGGCTTTTTTCATGTACTCTTCTTATTACGATTTCCGAGATTTTCTTGAGTGCAGACTTCTGCTAGGGGCTTTGCACTTACATCAGTTACATCAAAATGAACCTTTTATCTGCAAGTGGCAGGGTCAAACATTTCTAGATACAGAGATATACAAATAACATCAAGATTTTAAGATTTTTGTTGTGGTAGTGGTCTTCTGGTACCCAACTGCAATAATTTTAACTGGGGTTTTCAGACTTTGAATTCCCTTTACTGAGCAGAATGGAGTTTTGCAATGGTGATCAAAGGGTGCTATGAGGAAATAAGCTGTCATTTGGACAGAAGTATATTAGAGCTGACAACAGCAAAGCCGATCTTCTCTAAGACAAGCGGAGTTCAGGTTACGGCACATTCATTATTATTTTTTCCCCAGAAAGCTGGGACAAGGGTTTCTACCTACTTTTGGATGGGATGTCAACATTTGCAGAATATTTTTAGAAGGTCAGCATACTAGATCCCGCAGGTATAAATGTCAGACTTCAGTGGAGACATATACTGTTTCCCACATCAAAAGCCTGGCATCTGACAGCTGACCAGAAACAATCCATAGGGGATCTTCTCTTTGGTATTAAGGACAAAGGCACACCTCTTGGCAATGATTTGTTTCTTTTCAGAATGGAAATGATCCAAGGGAATTCTTTACCTCTGACCTATGTTAGATTTTGCTTGTTATCACCCTCACAGCAGCACTGGCTTGCTGCTGAAGTATATTCTTTTCTCAAAGAAAAGAAACAGCTTTTTAATACAAGATAAATACAAGATCAATGCGGTGGGGAGAAACTTGTTCTTTTCCTCTTTTTGTTGTTACAGCAAGATTCACCTGTATGTCTGCCAAAAAGATCTGACCAAAAACTTTTTTTCAGGGAGTGCTGACACATGCCATATCATCTTAGTTCAGGACAAACATTCAAATACTGGGTTCAGCTGAAATATATTAAGGGCTTAAGTACTTGAAGTCCTAAACATAAGGAAAAAAGGAAAGAGAAATGGAACAGAAAAAGAACTGGTTCTAAGCTCTTGATGAACTGGCATTTCACAGTCTTGTCAGCTTAAAATGTTTCTGGTCTTTCTCACCAAAACTTTTAAGACAATGTTTGAGTATTCCTTATTAAAAAACCCTACATTTTTCATGACTGAAAAGGAGGGAACTATACCTCTGTGCAGATTTCATTATACAGCCTATGAACAAAAGAGTAATGGACAGAACAATGGAAATGTGTATGTATTCACTTGATACATGCTCAAACTGGTCCTAAGAAATGAGAAGGTACCGGGTTGCTTTGCTACATGGTCTAGGTTCAAGTAACTGCTTTGTAGAGTTTAAGTTAGATTGTACAGCCATGCAAATTATATAACGAACAAATAACCTCCACTGCAAATAGAGACAAGTTTTAAGAAAGAACAAAGTATATTCCACCATGCTAGCAGAGTTCAAAAACCTCATGTTGGCACAGCTGTTCAGTCTGAACCTTTAAGCTAAAGGGTTAAAGAATATAGTTTTAAATTCCACATTTAAAAGCCACTCCCTGATTTGATCTTTTCTCATGCTCTTGTCTATGGGCTATCCTTAATTCGAATTTTATAAACCAGGTTTCTTCACTTAAGTATGTATGAAAGTCCCCTGGCTTTCTGTATACTTGCAGAGGACAGATACATGATTAGAGCACTGAAATTTTTCAGTACTATTCGTCAGAACGGTTCTTCTGAGAATGGTGCTGTAGAAGAAACTAGATGCTGCAAATTGTAAAGTCTGATAAACCACCCGCATCCTCCAATATCCCACTGCTGCTGTGGCTGCAGCACAATCCTATTCCTCCTTAGGTGTTTTCTGCTCCGATGGGTTACTCTGCTCTTCATGAACACTAACTGCTCTGGGAGCAGTGATAAAGCAGACTGAGAAGCTACCGGGGCAAAGGAAGTAGGTTGGTAGGTTCAAGGCAGCAAAGGGCCCTAGGATAAACTTAAATTTCTACTGTTTGGATATGTGTATAGCCTATACTGTAGAGCATAAAAGCTAGGTTCACTGGGTTTTAAAAGAAGGAATTGTTTTGTCCGTTTATCACAAGTAATGATGTGAGAATGAAAGTGTATGTCAAGTATGAGAGGGAATCATTCTCCTTAACATATATTTTCATTGCAGTTTAATTCAGAAAAAAAATGTTACTGAAAAAAGCTTTATTCCAATTCAGCTTCCTTATCCAGCCTAGCTCTTGTGAGGTGCAATGCATTCCTAGTCCTGTGTGACTAGGAATATGTTTACGTGACTCAAATTTAATTTTCACATTCAGGACAAATGTACCTATATGCCACAGCACATATCACCAAATGATATGGTAGAATTTATGTCAATAAGCGTATGATCTAATAAAAACATGTCAGTGGGGTTCTTTGCTTTGTGAGGAATGCATGAACTGATAAGTTTGTAGTGAATACCCACAAACAGCACAAAGACTCAGTACTTTAGCGGTAAAAATTATTTCCTCTTGAACAATTGAGGGCAGGTGAAATATTTTCAAAACCTGAGGCTATGAGATATACATATGCCATCTTGATTAAACATATGGAATGCATACTCAAAGAAAAGCCAACTGGAGTCCTAGTTGAGTAATCAAAACACCCAAGCTGAGAGGGGTTAACGTGCAAGGATCAGCTCTGAACTTTGAAGTTTTCTGGTCTTCATTTTTCCTAATTAAGACAAGATTTAATAATCAAACCACTGTACAAACTATGTACTTAAACTCTAGGTTTGTTTCTAATTTTGTTGGGAATTCTTTGTAGATTCCAAAGAATCAGTACCCCCTGGGAAGTTCACCCAGTAAGGTGGACTGATTTTTTTTTCTAAACTGTTAGGTACAAGGGCGGAATGCCTGCTTTTCTTTTCTTCTTTGCCACTGCCTCTTATAAATAGTTATTCAGTAACCCTCAAACAAAAGAAGAAAACTAAAGATGCATTATTAATATCTTTGAATTACTAGAAGAACTCCAGCAAACAACTTTTGGAAAGCTGTGTAGTAAGTACAGAAAAACATTCTTCAGATAGAAGCATTTAATTACTTGCATATCTTCATTCTACAGCAGGGAACAGCATCAAAAACCAACATTTGTTGTAGAAGCATTATCTCCTGATAAATCTATTTAGATTCTGATGCTCTTTGTTCCTTAATGGATGGTCCCTTTTCTTCTTTCCATCCCCATCAGAATAACGTGCTGCTCTACAGAGAAAGAGGGGCACTATGTATCTGATGTTAGCAGTAGCATATTCTTCTGTTTGTCCTTATATAGTAATTTTATATCACCATACAGATAACAAATTTTCATGTTACTAATTGACTGACAGAGAAAAAGTTGGTTTGAGAAAAGATGATTAAAAATTTCTCCACATTTAATAATTTTCTTACGCAAAAAAAGACTAAGTACAATCAGCTGATTGAGTTCAAATGAGCTAAATGAGTACTCTGTACTAGTCCACAATGAGAATGCTTCAAATACAATTCAAAGGCAGCTGAATGGAATGATTGCTGAAGCTCAAAAGTGCACATTAAATAGTTGGATAGAAATCTAGTAATCTTTAAGGCATCATTTATCGTTCAACGGGAAACCACCTGTAATTTAAACCTGTAAGATGCTTTGAATCCTGTTTTGTTGAATTGTATTCTTACTGACGTCAACAACCACAAATAACCTTTGCAGCGTACTTCAGAAACTGAAAATGAAGATCTATACAAATGTATACATCAATTATGCATAAATAAGATACTTGTGCAAGCACCTGTCTGCTGTCCATCACCACATGTCACCAATACCTAAACTTCCTTATTAGTTTTCAATCTTTGTGTTTATTAGAAATTCCTTACTTTGGGAACTCACCTTATTCATGTGTATCTGCTGCTGGTACTGTTTCTGCTTCTCCAAAAATTGTTGATGTTGCTGCTGGATGACCAGCTGGGCCAAAGTACTCTGAGGAAGAGGGGCTGACTGGGTTCGATTCAGTGGCCTGTGACGAGGCAGTTTGTGGGCAGCTCTTACGCCAGGTGAGACTCTCTCCTTCGCTGCTAAAGGAGACTGTGGATGAAGAGGAACTGCTCCTGCAAAACAGGGACATTTCACTCCTGCGTGAAGAATAACAAGCTGATAGTTCTAACAGGAGAGAAAGCTTTCAGTGAGGAGTGTATATTGCAGAACTTTGCATCATGCTGATGCAGCGGGATGTGTACCACGTGCCTCACCATGCTGGGAAGTTCAGCAGCTGCAAAAGAATGTGATGAAGTAATCATTTTTCTGTAATCACTGAATTCTTTCAGGCTAACAGACTGGAGCAGAATCACTAAAGGCGGAAAACAAAGATGCTGTCCTTTTTTTTTTCCCACCCTTCCACTTTTCCCCATGGTTAGGACGTCTAGTATCTGCATTACCACATTTAGTTTAATATGAATACAAATGTCATTAAAAACATCTTAAATTATTGTTATGTTGAAGCCTTGATCATTACCAGTCACAAGAAGTTTCTGCTGTCTCATTTGTTCTTTCAGTAACAGATGCTGCAAGAGAGCTTGGTGGCTGCTATTCGGCTTTCCCTCCAATGCAACATGAGGATGAGTTGAGGACGGAGGAATGTTGCCCCCATACTGTCCAGCCAAGGCCACTCCTTGTCTGAGTGACTGAGTCTCCCCCTTCTGCTTTTCTTTGAATGAAGATGAAGCCTGTCAAAAAACAACAGAACCAGTAACTGCTTTTCATAGACCTGGCCATTTATATCTCCACTTGATTAGATGGTCTTAACATCATATTTTATGAATGCATAGAGAAGAAAAGGTTAAACCCCTAACTTACACTTTGACTGCGAGATGAAAAGAGAGGAAAAACATGCCAGTTAAATATAACACTGTGAGAAACTGAGTAATGAAGCCATTTGAAAAAAAATCAGTAATAAAAGCCAAAGCATAAGGAACTACTAGTTAGAACATTATTAATGAAAAGACAGGACCTATCCTTAAAATTCCTAAAGACCTTCCCACAGCCTCCTGCACAGGAAAACAGGGGATCAGAGGAAATAGTTTCCACTGAGTTTGGAATAGGCAAGGCTTGGTTTTTCACATAACTTTCCATCAGACAGCAAGCCAATCAGCAAAACAAAATAATTACCTGTAGTAGAGGGAAGCTATTACTTTTCCTGGAGCACTCCCTGACTCCCTGAAGGACAGCACAAATGTAAGTTTTACCCTTTGCAAAGTAAGTTTCTACAGTTAAACTCTCATCTACAGAATCATCAAGAGCTGCTGTACGTGTGTGGCATTTTAAAGTGTCCTTATAAATTGTGCAGTTATTGATTTAAAGGTTTTGGAATTTTTGGCCCTTCAGAATTGCAGATGTACTTTATATTTCTTTGTTCTTTCTCTACTTTTAAAAAAATACTATTTATTAAAAGAGCAGTTAAAGCAGAATAAGTATTTTTACAGGAAGAATAATAACCTAACAGAAAGAAGCATGTTGAGGCTTGCAGATAGTTATGGTAAAAGCAGTATCTCTGATAATCTAAATTCCATAAAATCTAATGAGGCAAACCAAGGTTTTCACTAATGTTTTTTGGGTGTATGTTTACTTCACACTCTGCTATCACCCTTCCCTGAAAAACAAACACAAAAGTAAACTTTCCATTCAATTTGCAACTGCTTATTCTGGTAACAGAAATAAACGTTACTTGCATGAATCAACCCCTTTGTTTTTTCTAATGCCAAAAGTAATATTTGGTGCTAGCTGGCCACATCAAAAGCTCATATGATTTGAGTGAGAAAATTAAACATATTTTCATTTCCATTTTAATATTATAAAATTACTTTGAAGCTAGTTACAGTTTTTGTGAAATAGCTAAGACATTTTTGATGATATCTTCTGGAAAGGTAAGCACTACTTTTCATGATCAGTTCAATTTTTCCATCCCTTAAAAACAATAATTTGCTTATAAATATCTCATGAAACGCTTCTAGAGAACTGATT